GGAATCGGGATCTGTCATACTCAAACCTTGTAAGCCGTGTGTTTGTAACTAAAGGGTTCCCGTTTAATTGGGTAGGTGATAGTAAATTATATGTACAGTAGTCTCCGCCTAAGATCCCACCGCTTACGATCCCGGTTCGCTTAAGATCCCGCTGTTTTAAGAAAACAGAATTTTTACTATACAAAAGTCACCCCTAAGATCCCGCTCTGATTCACTCTTAAAAAGGTCTACATTCAGCTAAGATCCCGCATTTCAGATTATAATTTGCGGAACAAAAACTCGGGCGGGCACAGCCGATCAACCAAGGGGGAAAAGTTGAGATCAATAAACTGTCCGTCGCGTCAAAGATCAGCCACTATCGTGATTGTGATCACATACACGTTGTAGAACTCGATGAAGCGATACAATGTTTGGCCCAGACGGGATCACACCGAGGTGTGAACTGACCGACACGTTTGTTTTCCCCACGCATCACACTCACACCTGAGCTCTCCCCCTAAACTTGCACCACTCGCTGGGTGGGTAGGGCCTATACGTTCGCTCCAGGCGGGATCACATCGAATCGTGAACTCTTCCCCGACCATTGCAGCAGTAGTTGTCTCTACTCCCGAATTTGCGAGACAGACTGAATTTTAATTGGTGTGTTCACAACGTAATGGTGTGTAACGACAAAGGCGGTTGGGGGGGGGGGGACTCGGTCAGAGATGGCAAGCTATAAATTTTCGACAGGTAAAGGGGAGGGGCAGCTGGATAAGCATAGATCTTGAGACTCATGATAGGATAATTCGTGAAAATGGCACGCCTCATGCCACTGTGCACTGTGTTAGGTCATCAAGGGTAACCACTCTTTGCTCACCTTATGTCATAAACCCACCAAGGGGTCACGTCAGTTTCATTTTAGAGTGGAGGGAGACCATTTTACCGATTGTGAGCCTTAACATGGGTCACCATAGATTCTTCCCTGGGTTCGTCGGTTAAGATCCCGCATTTCTTGGCTCCCGAGCACCGGGATCTTAGGCGGAGACTACTGTTTGTATTGTATTCTATATTTGAGCTTTCTGTTCAAGATTTGCAGATTTTCAGAGTCACTGCGTCTTGCCCTCCCAGTTTTTACACCTCTCACACTGAATAGGTCTACTTGAGACATTCATGTTATTACTCTATTTTTAGTTTGAGTAATAATTTTTATCTTTTACGTTTATTGTATAAACCTTGACACCCCAACTGGTTCTTGACAGTGGATATTCTGGTTCTAGGCCTTTTCTCAGGCTCAAAGCTAGATTCATATTTATATAGTTTATATAGGGGAATATGATGCTGGGAAAATATAAATAAGTAAGAACTGACTGAAATACCTAAGTCACAGTATCTCAGTGCCACACTGACATGTTGCTGACTGGAATGTACCTACATGTGTGCGTGCGCACCATTCTGTGTATATATTAATAAATATTATATAAATGAAGCATGTACTGTCATTGTTATGTAACATGCCCCTGGAGAATGGATGAGGGCCCCCCCCCCCCCCACCCCACCGGAAAATTGAGAAGCCGGGGGTTCGCAGTCACCCTGCGAACAGTTTTTGTAGGGAAATCGAAACTATGATATATGATTCTTTTCGGACAAGTGTAGACCTTCGAAAATAGGCTTTTGTCATGAATTTCTTGACCAAATCTCCTTGAATTTTAAAATTTTCTCCTTGAAACCTCCTTGAAACCTCCTTGAAATCTCCTTGAATTTGGTGGGAAGTTCATGGCAGGAACCCTGGCTTTATTATTTTGTATTTTTTTGTAATGCAATTGTATGTGGGCAAATTTCAGAATCACAGACATTCTGCTGACTCTGTTGTGTGCTGGCGATACGACCAGTCACTATTGCCGGTATCTGATGACACTAGAAGAGTCTTTGCCACAGGCTCGCCAAGCCTTGGCTCTCTTCCAGCATCACGACGCAATCACTGGGACCAGCAAAAGATATGTGGTCAAGGATTACGCTTCTAAGTAAGTGATTTTTCTTCTTTGCTTGAAATTTTGCACGGAGGGCTTTGTGGTAAAACGTATTATATCCGAAAATGACTTTTGTAAAAAAAAGCTGGCAATGTGATTCATGATCTGTATGTTCTTGAAAGAAAGCTTGAATCAAATCAGTACAAAATCATTTTTGCAGCTTGTTTTGAGATTAAATATTTTAAAGCAATAAAGGGATGCACTGTTAGCCCGGTTAGTATTATTCTGGACTGTGGGGAAGATGGCTGTGGTTTGAATTCCAAGTAGGGCATTATGAACTTTTGTTGTTTTATGTAGTTTTTAATGCTCTCCACTCATTTGGCCGGGTCCTATCAGAGATAGATGTTAAATCAGAATCCAGCCTATTAGATACCCTGCAGTGTTCAAAGGATCAAGTTTACAAAGCAGTAAAGATTGACGATCAGGCTAACAATGTAAAGAGACAGAAGAGGAAGAAGTTTATGGTATGTCTTTTAATTGCAACTGGTCATATTTCATATAATTGTGAGGCATTGTGATGAAATCAGGCACTTGTCAAAATAATAAAAATTGAAGACACCAGCATTTTCCCACCTGTTTGGCAATTTTAACCAAAAATTTTTTTCAAGTTCAATACCTTATTTGTCGATTTAAAATTACATTTCTGTGTGGATTATTTTGGAAATTGTTGGTCAAAATCGCATTAAAAATTTTAATTTGCAGTTTCCAAGGGCCTCTGACTTTGGAAGTCATCAAACTTTGGCAGCCATTTTCTATCTTATTTTACTTGTGACATCAGGCAACTCCACCTTTTTTTAATTGCAGATATCTGGACTTCTATTTTTTAAAGTTGGTTTTTATAAATCCAAATCAAGGCAAAAGAACAGGCTCTAAGGTTATACCAATAACTCCATATGCCCAAAAGTTGATGAGCACCTGATTCCACCGCGTTATATAACAGTTTTATTTCTGTGTCTATCTTACTTTTTCCCTGCTTAAAGTTTCCACTGTGGTATTGAAGTGCTTCTCTATACCCACACTATGTCTTCACAGATTACACGGGGCATCCATTGTGATAGATGACATCCTGAAGAAGCTCATGTTCCTCTCTGTTGCCGAGGGTCAGAAGGATGCCAAAAGAGCGGTTGGCAATGTGTCTCTAACCATGGCTGAGGAGTGGTCCGACTTTGTCACTCCCCCCTCTCTGAAAGCAAATTATGTTGATGGCAAATGGTAAGCACTGCAGCAGGGTTTGTTCTTTTTCTTAGAACAGTTGCCCATAGCAATTCACATGTTGTTGGTGTTGTGGGAAAAATGCCTCTGTAATTTTGTTTACTGAACCTATAAAGTGGGTCCAAAAAAGTTACTTATTATTCTTGCGATTGCCATATATTTGGAAAAAGTCTTATGATTACTATACTGGTGTCTGTGGTGTAGCAGCAAGGCGCTTGGCATTTACACACAGAACACATGAATTCGCTCCTGAATGGGGGAGAATTTTTACTGAGTAGTTCCTTTCGTCTATCTGCTCGGACATTGTATCCCTGTCGCCCAAGTTGGCCTTGACAGGAAGAGTTGAATCCTGCCTCCCTAATGATTTAATTTGTGTTGATGAGGGTTAAAACTTCTTCAAATACATAAATAATCACATTTGAAATTGTTATGAAAGGCCAAGTGTTAATAAAAATTTGACTCCGTACAAATATCTAAGAAAAATATGGAAATATTCAAGGTGTTGAGGTTTAGTGTGATGTTTATTAGTTTGTAGAGGATGTGAATATCACTGTAAGGGCAAACAACCTCCACAAATTCTATACAAAAATGTGCATTAAGCTCAAAGCTCACAAGGAACTTGCCTATAACATTGCACTCACACATGCCACACAGAATCAAATCCCTCTATTGACTAAAGTGAACCTGCGTTTTCAATAGAACATTAGGTTGGAAGTCTGACTTGATGTCTTATTCCATATATATATTGTTCATATTTTTTGTTTTGATGTCAGCATCTCGATTAACAGCTCACTCTGTCAAGTTAGTTATATTTTATTGTGTGCTAGGTTGGAGTGTCTTTTTTCATTGTTTACATTCTATTTAGTTCTGTATCTTGCTCTTTCTTCATAATAGTTTTTTTTTTCAGTTGTCTTGTTTTGTTCAATAGTTTTTAAACTAAATCTTTTCAAAACAGGTAAATAAATGGCTGACTGGTGCTCTGGTGTGAATTGCTCTATCTTTTCCATCAAACGTCTGTCATCCTTATCCCTCTTCCTTTTATTTGTATGCAACTTTGTAGTTAAACCTTTAATTTTGACACCTATATGACCTATTTGTGTTGTAAGTGTCGTAAAATTTTTATGAAAACTAATAAAACAGTAATAACTTTTATTCGTTTTGTTTTTCCAATTGTGAATCACAAGTCTGATATCTTGTCAGGTTTGTTTTGGTGACAAATCCTCTAACCATTCAGTGGAAATCTGTGGTAACCGTGCGAACATCCAGTCCATCCGCAGTCAAGACCAAGGGTGGAGGTTTGGTGGCGTACCAGATCAACCCAGTTCTAGATGAGAATTTGAAACCCGTGCTCGGCCTCTATGATGTAAGTGATCTTTTTCTATTTTAACCCCTCTGTTGCCTTATGACGTACCTGGTATGTCATGAAAATGCGTAATTTTTAGCACTCTGCCATACCATGCACGTCACGGAAGTTGGCAAAATTTGCCACTCCTGGTTGCCAATATGACATTACATGTACGTCATGCTAATAACCTGGCTCTAAATTTTCTGTACGGATTTTTAGCCACAAGCACTGCGTAGATTCGTATGCGGAAATAAAAGATGCGTGTATGGGTACCAAATATGCTTGTATTTCTTGCAAGCAATCGATAAACATAGATCTAGGCTTGCCGGCGGCAGTGTGCCCTCGTAAAACATAAACATTGAAATGACTCTAAAAGAGCAAATAAATTTATTTTTTGACTTGGATTTGCAGGTTATTCGAAATTATGAGTAGGATGAGAGGAAATGGGGAATAAGAAAAGTGAGGAAAGTGAAACAATCGAAGACCCGGTGTCCGAAATAAGTCACGAGTGCGCTAGATCAAGACCGCGCGTCCATCAACACTGAGACATTAGACTGCTGAAACGAGCTCAGTTGAAAATAAGTGCTGATAGTAGGAACGTATATACCCTGGCAACAAAAGGGTTAAAAAATGTTTTATTTCACCCTCAATCTGAACAGTGATGTGAAGTGTGCACAGGGATATTTCTTAACAGACTTTGATATTACTTATGCATGCACATTTCCGTGTACAGTGGAATCCTGTTATAACGAGAGTGAGGGGACCGGTGCGAAATGTCCGTTATACCAGGATTCTCGTTATAAGGAATCCAGTAATAAATGGAAATAATAAAGTAGCTATGAGTTTGGTGTTCTGTTTATTTCTTTTTGTTATCTCCCCTGATGATGAAATTGTTCAACATGACCTCTTGGTCTTACTTGATCAAAAATCGAATCGGGTTTCTTTCCCTAGCGCTAGCGATGTTGACAGCACGGCGTTGGCGATCAGAAAGAATGCGCTCTGGGCTAACTCGCCCGCTGTGTTGTCCCACACCCCACAACACCCTGTGGTGTGTTTCGTCTGCTTGCGCACGTTACATACACGTTCACTCCATCCATCACAGCATTGTGACCTCTCCATCCCCGCATCGGAAAAGTGAGGGCCTGGGTAGAAATTTAAACTAGGCTGGCCTATCATGCAATGCGTTCTGCTTGTCTGCGCATCTTGGTCTTACTTGATCAAAAATCGAATCGGGTTTCTTTCCCTAGCGCTAGCGATGTTGACAGCACGGCGTTGGCGATCAGAAAGAATGCGCTCTGGGCTAACTCGCCCGCTGTGTTGTCCCACACCCCACAACACCCTGTGGTGTGTTTCGTCTGCTTGCGCACGTTACATACACGTTCACTCCATCCATCACAGCATTGTGACCTCTCCATCCCCGCATCGGAAAAGTGAGGGCCTGGGTAGAAATTTAAACTAGGCTGGCCTATCATGCAATGCGTTCTGCTTGTCTGCGCATCTTGGTCTTACTTGATCAAAAATCGAATCGGGTTTCTTTCCCTAGCGCTAGCGATGTTGACAGCACGGCGTTGGCGATCAGAAAGAATGCGCTCTGGGCTAACTCGCCCGCTGTGTTGTCCCACACCCCACAACACCCTGTGGTGTGTTTCGTCTGCTTGCGCACGTTACATACACGTTCACTCCATCCATCACAGCATTGTGACCTCTCCATCCCCGCATCGGAGAAGTGAGGGCCTGGGTAGAAATTTATACTAGGCTGGCCTATCATGCAATGCGTTCTGCTTGTCTGCGCATACCACACCCTCCCCACTCATTCGCTCTGGCCTTCATTGTTGGCAAACGTGGGCTCTCCCATTCTTTGTTTCGCTCAAGGAGTTGATGTAAGGTCCTAGGTTTCGCTAGATCACCAAGTTTCTCAACTGCCGAGGTTTTACATTATGTATAAATGGCCTATGCGCTGTGCACAGCAGCAGCAATATTCCGCTATAACCAACTCCCGTGTTTGTCTGATTGCAATATAGCAGTATTTTATTTACAAAGATAAAGAAGGAAAAAAACGGGGTTTTAGAATAATGTCTTAATAACAGACTTCTCGTTGTTTCAGGACTCGTTATAAGTGGACTCCACTGTAATACCTCAGACACACTGCTGAGGAAAGCTAGCAAACTAGATCTTTTTATCAGCACAACAAACACCACATCAATAAATTTTGTGTTAAAGAGAAAAACATTCAGCTCAGCAGAAAAAGCCCTGGAAAAAAACTAAAAGGGTTGTGTAGGGTACCTGGGGAGTAAAAGTGACTGCTGACAGATAATAATTTTCTTGTGGAAATTGAGGACAGAGTTACAAAGGTTTCTGCAACCTTCAATGCCCTGAATAATGTCTGAAGAAATGGCTAAACCAGGAGAAAAAGGAAGGATTTCCAATCTGTGAGTCTGGAAACTATTTACCCTTAAGATGGTACGGAAACTGAATTCTTTTAAAAATGATTATCTTCAAAAAGAAGAATCTGCATTATTTGAACACTGGTTAATTCATTAGACTTTGATCTTAAGGCCTGGGTGGTTGGCGGGTAGCCTACTCTGGTGTGGTTTGCTCTTGTTTTCCAATGAAACATCTATCATCCTTATCTCTCCTCCTTCTTTTTTTTGACATCTCTAATCTTTTGGACTTATGTGATCTTATTGTGATGCAAGTGCCATAAAACTCTTACTAAAACAATAAAACATTTTCTGAAGACTCTTTAGATTTCCTAGAGTGAATAGTTTTCAGGAGGGGAAACGGGTGTCTCAAACCATGTAGGAAATGGTGGAAGTGTCTTTGTGGTGAAAATGTGGCAATGGACTGAGTATAGTAGGAAATAGGGATGGATCAGAAAAAAACGTTAAAATTTGTCAAAAGAATGTGTTATGTTTCCAGTGCGCTTTAATTTTTTAATTGATGATATCTATGACCTACTTTATAGTATTTAAAGCAATGCTGTACTGTATTTTAATATTTATTAGTTAGTCCTTCAAATTCATAGTACTCTTATGTTCTTAATGTGATGTTCATATTGTCATTGATTGCACTGTGATAACTTGAATGTCTGCTAATGTGTTGCTGTTAATTTAAAGAGTGTATATATGCACGTTCATGCACATGTCTTTTGTGTTAAGACAAAGGTATTGTAAGGTGTTTAGAGTTGTGTTGTGTGAGATTTGGCACTATAGACATTTTCTGCATTATCATTATTATTACATCTGCTGTGTCTTGTATTGTTCAGGTGGTGTTCGAAGCAGACCTCCAGGCTTTGTCCGTGAAGCTGTACGTGGTGTCTGAGAGCCACTCGCATGGCAAATACGTGTCAGTTACTCTGTTTGGGAAGCAACTGGAGCCTGTAATGTTTGTGTAAGAAAATTTTCCTGGGCATTGTATAGAACTTAGGAGTGTGAATAAACCTGCAAATTTTATGTTTTATGAAAGATATGCTTCTTCTTTTATGAAAGCAACTTATAGGGTTAATATAACAATTTTTAAAAAGTAATTTCCTCATTAAAGAAGAAAAGTACATTTCATCACTGCTGCGAGGAAAATAAGTAACCTCGAATGTCCCTGTTTTATAGAGTGAGAAAAATTTTGGTGTTGCTCATTTTTGGAGTAATAGTGACTCTGTAAAATGACAGAAAAGATGACAGGCAAAGCAGCAGTGAAATTGAGACATAGTATTTGCTTCATCATGATAAAATGGCATTATTATATGTCTTGTACATGTTAAATCTTATCAAGAAGTTTTTTTCAAATCCCACTTGGATTTTTTTGTATTAAATGGTTTGTTGGGTTTTTTTGTTTTTTCCAGAGAAGATTTCAAAGCCAAAAGTTCAACTGTTGAGACGATTGAAATTGAGAATTTGCTTCTGCGAACCACATTTTCTTCCTGCACTGGCACTTTACAGGTCTGTTGCCTTTTCCAGAGCTCTGAGAACACTTTTTAAAATGTAATAGTGAATGTCTGAACGGCTAAAGTTTATTTTAAAAAATTATAGTGAGCTGGCCCATTATCTTTTGGTAAATTTTGATTTTAGAAATAAGAATCGGTGAGCGTGCAATTTCAAAACTGATTACTAGAAACAGCTTATGTGAAGAATTTTAAAAGCTGCGATGTTGAGAGGTAAAGAGTGCCGGTATTCAAGTTGAAGTGAGTGTAATGGCTTTCAGGAAAGCTGTCACTGAGATGTCGTGTCTTTAAGCCAGATATATGACCCTAGGTCCAGAAGAGGACTCTGTCTCGGTGATCAGCTTTGGCATGCTACTGTTCGAAATTGTTATTATGTTATTGACAAAAGGCTATGCTTGTATTTGTAAAACATAGATCAATAAATGTCTCTTTCTTTCTCTCTCTCTCTTTCTCTCTCTCTCTCTTTCTCTCTCTCTCTCTCTCTCTCTCTCTCTCTCTCCTTCAATCTCGGTGTGTGTCTCTCTCTGTCTCTGTTCCTCTCTCTCTCTCATTGTCTCTCTCTCTGTGTCTGTCTCTCTCTTTGTGTCTGTCTTTCCTCTCTATCTTTGTCTCTCTCTCTCTCTCTCTCTCTGTCTCTCTCTCTCTGTCTCTCTCTCTCTCCCTCTCTCTCCCTCTCTCTCCCTCTCTCTCTCTCTCTCTCTCTCTCTCTCTCTCTCTCTCTCTCTCTCTCTCTCTCTCTCTCTCTCTCTCTCTCTCTCTCTCTCTCTGTGTCTCTGTATGCATGCATGCATGCATGCATGTATGTATGTATGTATGTATATATGTATGTATGTATGTATGTATGTATGTATGTCTGTGTGTGTGTGTGTGTGTGTGTGTGTGTGTGTGTGTGTGTGTGTGTGTGTGTGTGTGTGTGTGTGTGTGTGTGTATGTAATAGAGCCTGCTGCTGAGTGGGGATATGCGCTATACAAATGCTATCTATTATTATTATTATTTTATTATGTATGTATGTATGTGTGTGTGTATGTGTGTGTGTATGTATGTATCTATGTATGTATTATGTGTGCGTGCGTGCGTGCATGCGTGCGTATGTATGTATTTATGTATGTATGTATGTATGTATGTATGTATGTATGTATGTATGTATGTGCTAAATGTACAAACTGCAAACCTTGTGTCTTTCCTAGTACACACATCGCAAGCTGGATGACGTGATTCATAAGACAGCCATCAAGTTTGTGACTTATGGCACAGGATCTTGGTCCAATCCTTTCAGAGACAAGAGTGGAGCCTACATTTTCATGCCTGATGGACAAGCTCGGGTAAAATTTGATTTGACTGGATTGCATTTATTTTGATAAATTGTCTTTTTAGACTGGACTGAGTTTGTATTTCTGAGTAGCCTATATTCAACAGTAAGGTCAATATTAGTCTTATATAAGTGCTATTTTTGGAATTAAAGATTTCTCAGTGTTTGTTACTCTCTTGCAACACCTCTAATCATAGGCACCTAAATGATCTAATTGTGTTGCAAGTGCCGTAAAACTCGTACAAAAACAAAGTCAAATTCACTTCTCAGTGAGGCTTTCAATCATTGTACAAATGTTATTACTAAAACAAATTAAAACTCACTTCTCTTTGAGACTTAGCATTATTGTACAAACATTACTTCTGTGGGTTTCTTCAGAGCCTGGACTCGATGTATCCGCCCATGGTTGTGTTGCACGGACCTGTCATGTCTTCTGTCATCACCAAACTGCCTGGTGTTGTGCACAGAGCTGTTCTCTATAACGTTTCGGGTAAGTTCTTGAATGTTTCAGGGTTACCAGCTCATTTTAAAATTATGGTACTTCTGGTCTAAATCATGACTCGGCGGGTAATTTTTTTGTCCTGTACTTCACCTCCCCCGTCCACTGTCCGGCTCCACCTTTCCACCCCAAAATTTCCTTTCAACCTCTCGTCTTTGCTTACGCCTTCCTGTGGGTTCAGGGATGATAAAATCATACCATTTGCTCCTGTCATAAAATAGTGAGCTAACACATAAGTGCTGTAAGTCTTTTGAAAAGATGTATACCTTGTCAAGTGAAACAGGGCATACCAAATAAAGACTGAGATCTACCAATCCTTTGAATTAGCTTGTGTATGTCATTTTAGCTTTAAACTTTCTTTGGACTAAACTTAACCAGGGTTGTTTGTTATTGATTTGTTGAAATCATTTATTTATATCTACTTAAACGTTTACGTTTTCATGTATTAAAAAAATTTTGTTTTGTTATATCAGGTCCTGTGGCATCAGGCGTCCATCTGTACAACACTGTGTACCTGACCCCACCCTTGTATGACAACAAAGAGCTGGTGATGAGGGTGGAGTCAGACGTCCTTTCCCCTGACACCTCTGTTTGTGTTGACCTCAATGGGTTCCAGGTACAGTGGACCGTAAGAGTTAATAATATTGTGCTGCGAGATTAATAAATATTCCGATATAATGAGATGTGTCTGTGTCTGGACATGCTTGTAAAGATGAAGTAGAATATTTGCTGTTACTTTTTTTTTACCTTTGAGTTTAAAAGGAATGAAGAATGCAAATATGTCCTTTAATGGATTGTTAAATGCATTTCTAATTTCAAGATAACCGTAAACTAGCAGGCGAGCTTAAAAAGAAAACCCACATCAAATAATATAGAAATAGAGGTATTTTTAGGCAGTTATGATTTACCGTGCAACTTAAAGTTCTGATTTGATTGAATCAAGATTTAACAATATTTCTTTGTGCATGAGTGTTTGCCTGGTGCATTTTCGACACTTTTTTCACTTGATCTTATGGTGGCTATTGTACTTCATATAAACCATTTATGTAAAGTAATTTATTTAGAACTACGCAGAATAGGACAAATGTCAATATATCTTAGTGTTGATTCCATCGGAACCCTCATCTCTTTTTGTCCTTGCACGCCTAGACTACTGCAATTCTTTGTTTGGAAACCTTCCCACTGAAACGTTAAATAGGTTACAGCGACTCCAGAACCAAGCTGCTCTCATAATTTTAAAGAAATCTCTCAAAGAGCATGTGACACCAATGCTAATTCAACTACAGTGGCTCCCAGTGAAAGCAGGAATTCAGTACAAAATAATTGTTCTTTGTTTTAAGTGCGTCAACAGCATTGCACCATCATATCTTTGTGACATGGTCATCGAGTATATACCATCTCGGCCTTTAAGATTGGCGAAGAAAAGACTTTTAAGACCTGTCCGAAGCTAAAGTCAGAGACTCGGAGGGAGAGCTTTTTCACACCACGCCCCCTCCCTGTGGAACGCTTTGCCAGCTCATCTACGGGAGTCTACCACTTAAGCAAAGTTCAAATCAGCACTTAAAACGCATTTGTATCAGTTCAGCTTCAATCTGTAATTTCCGACATTCCCATTATTATGTTCTGTCAGTATCTATTATGTTCTCTCAGTATCATTTATTCATGCTGTTCTCTTCTGTAACAATTTATGACTGTGATGTCATCAATGTGTACGAGGGTGTCTAGGTAAGTTATGTGGGATTGTCTTTACTCAAGGATGTACTGGAGAGAGAGAGATAGAGAGAGAGGGTGAGGAAGAGAGAGAGAGACAGACAGACAGACAGAGACAGAGTGAGAGAGTGTTCTTTGTATTATTGTACAGCGCATTGAGCATTTCTTTGTGGAAATGCGCTATATAAATGCAATTTATTATTATTATTATTATTGCTGAGTTTATGAACTTTCTCCTTTTAGTGTCCACTTGTAATGCTTACACTTGATATGCTGTTCCTCTGACTTTGTGTCTATGATCATCCTCTGCGTCTCTGATTGATCTGTTTATTCTTTCTCATAAGTTTGTTTGAAAGAATTTTGAGTTTTTAGCCGTGATGCTTTAAAATTTTACAAAATTAGATTTTATTTTTTAAAATTTTGTGTTCAGATGCACAAAAAACGGTGGCGCTCCAAGTTTCTGATTCAGGGAAACTTCCATCCTGTGACTTCAGCAGCTTACATAGAGGATGAAAACCACTCTCGGTTGTCATTGCTCACCACAGAGACTCATGCTGTAGCCTCTCTCAGACCTGGTGGGTATCAAGCACTTTTGCGATATGGCCACTTAAGTTTTATATGAGCTTTGATCTACCAAATTGTGAATTTTCTGTTTTTCAGTCTTAATCTATTTTTGGCTCATTATATTATATATTACAATGTCAGCAGGCAAATACTTTTTTTTTTCTTTATATTTAGGCACTCTTATCATATAGTCACTTTCGTTTTTGTTATGACCTATGGTCTTCAAAGTTTTCAATTTGTTCAGTTTTTTCACTGCAATTCTATGTATTTTTTTAATGTCCGCAAATTTGTGTGTTTTTAAAAAAATAAACTTTATTCATTTGACAGTCTAGATAGGGACTCAGTGTGGAAGCTCATGGGCCACTACGGAATACTTGACAAGTTCGTGAAATTGATCAAGAAGATGTATGAGGCAATGAGGTGCGGTGTTTTACTTGGAGGGCAAGGGACAGACTCGTTTGAAGTGAAAACAGAGTGAGACAGCGATGCCTGCTATTGCCTTTTCTCTTTTTATTAGCAATGGATTGGGTAATTCATTCAATAATGTGTACTTTCCTTCATTAATCCATCCATTCTTTAATCTATTCCTGCACTCACTCGCTCATTTGTTTGTGATGTGCAGGTTGGCTGGAAGCAGTCCTAGACCGTCGGCTCATGCAAGATGATTGGAGAGGTCTCAATGAAGGTGTGTCTGACAATGTGCAGGCTGTGAGTCGTTTCATGCTGGTCACGGAAAAAAAAAAAAACCCTCTGCAGGTATCCATGATTCTATTACTGTCTCTGTTGTTCATGTTTTATGTGTGTGTGGTGTGCCAGTTTGTGCATATGTTTTTATGCGAGATGACTTTAGTGTTTGATTATATATTTTGTTCAAGTTTTGTATTTTTGTTCATTCCACCTGTTGGGGGTTTTGTTTGTGACTGGAGGATTCTTCAAACATTGCTTCATTTTGTTTTTTTCATATGTAAATGTGTCTCTTTTCTTCTGATTTTTCGGTTGGGTAGTGTGTGCTTTTGTGTCTTCTGCCTTTATTTTTTCAGTGTTTCTCTTATCCTATTGTTGTTGTCATGTTTTCTAGCTGCAAATTAATGTAACTTAACAATAGCCTCTCTTAAAGCCACATGTGTTTTTTAAGGGAAGATTCGGATTAACAGTTTGAGCCATGCATGTCATTTCTCATGTTCAGAGACAAGTTTCACCAAGATCACTGCATAAGCATCCAGCAATGTGCTTTTTTTAACCATCACTTCCCTTAAGAAACTGATACGTCGAATAATTTTTTTTTTCCTCAACAGTGTATTTAATAGCAAACAGGTAAAGTTGCACATTGTCCACAAATATAACTCAAAAATAAATAAAGTATTTAAAATGTGCATTATTACATATTTCAGCTGTCATTTGCTGTCCGCCAACAAAGTAAAACAACTTTTGTGTGTTGTCTTTTTTTCTCTCAGACAAAGGGTCCAGCCTGTTACCCATCCTTGCTGACCCACCTGCTGTCCACACATCTGAACAACCCAGTCCAAGTAGTCGCCCTCAGGGAAGAAAAATACGAGTTCAAATACAAGTCGGAGGTCAACTTTATGACGGAGAAGTGGTCCTGTCTGTACCAGCTGCTGAACCTGAGGCGTCTGCCCGTGCCGAGGAAAGGGAAGGTAGAGGAGGGGCAGAGCGCACTCATGATTGTGCAGAAAGCCGGGCTGGACTGCAGCTACACAGAAGTCTACACAGACTGTGATATGCAGGTAAGGAGTGTGTGAGTGCTTCGATGAAGAACTAAAGCATTCAGGTCACATATCTAATAGCACACATCTAATAGTTTTTATTATTTTGCATTTCTTTTTCATTTTGTTTGGTAGGTGTTTTACAGTGCTTGCAACTGCCTGAGGTCATATGAGCCCGCTGGATGTTTTTACTTTTGGTAGGAATCTATTTTGAATATTGCTAGGGTGGCTGCCGAAACCTACTTTTATCGGTTTTAGGGCTACAAGGGATCTTTAACATATGCAACTTGTTATCAGTGGGTTAGTGCACACACTATTCTTTCCTATCGGGAAGCTGGTATGCGATGCACCTATAGACTCAGACTTGTGCTTTCAAGGTGTCAGAAAAACATGTCCTGTTGATTTTAAGGGTTTGATTTACTCTCAACACTATCTGTCTTTGTTTGCCACCAGTCTGGTGGAAACTGCCATGCCAGACTCGAGCTACTCTGCCACTTTAGGGGGTGCAGATAAAAACTGACAGCTTATTTATTTTCATACCTGATTTTTTTTCTATTTACTTCATCTTTTGTTAAAAGATTAGAGAAGGATCTACCATTTTATGTATATAGAACATACATATACAGTCGAACCTGTCTGAAAAGAAATCTCTCTAAAACAGAAACCTGTGAGTACGGAACCTCCCTGTTTCCCCCTTGATAAATTCCTTTATAATTACCCCTATGAAATGGAAGAGTGCTCAACACAGAATCTGAAAAAGAAATTCCTTCACTTCAGAGGTTGTTTTTTTTTAACACATTACACCATAACTTGCCCGGGACCGCCCGAGAATTCCCTTACGCCCGCGCTGACCAAGTGTCTTTAGAAATGAAGTCTCGCCTTGACAAGACTCTGGGGCCGAGATTTTAGTTTGCATAGATATTGCAAAAAGTTTTATCTTTCGTTTGATACTGAAACAAAATTTTTCGGGCCGGTAGTTTTAGTATTAGAGCTGATAGAAGTGCGATCGCGTTACCGACACTTCGTAGGTGTCTCGACTTGTTGAAAAGCAACACAATTGAGTTCGAAAAAGGAAATAACGATGGATTTGAGCAAAAACAAGCATATGACATGTCAGATGACTCAGATTTTGATGAAAATGTTGTAGCAAGAGTTTAGGGCGATTCAGATTGATCAGACGCAGAAAATCTAGAATTTAGATCTAGGGCCCAACCGCGAGGCTGAGAGTGAGAGTGACGGGTCGGACACCCCGATTGAAGTAAAGTTAGAACATTTCCAACAGTTTGCGCACACCTAAAATTATATTTTTCTGAAACTACATTAATTACTCCTTTTAACTTTTATTTTTTCAGGATTTTTGGAATTCACGGGAGGTGGGTTCCATCCCCTTGCTTAGGATCTAACAATGGACTTCCCGTCCAGACCCTTAGGGTGTAATGTGTTAACCTAAGACGGGGAAAAAAATGCTTTGCCCTCTCAGCCCAGTTTTGTTCCTTTGGCTCTAACGTTTACGCCATGATGCCAAGGGTGCGGCTTGGGGGCAGATGTTACCCCATCCCTGTAACCCTAAGTGGGGCAGATGGTCAGGGTGGTGTGGGGGTGAACCTCACCAGTGCTTGTGAAAGTGCTTAAGTGGCACTCCAGCACAGAAACTTTCCTGGGTAGCCAGAAGTATGAAATGATTTTGGCCAATGCCTTCTGCCCTGATTGTGCAGCCAGCAGAGAATAATGTTTCTAGAATCATTGTTATATGCATGGTAGGGATGGCATTGATTCATTCTGCTTACTAAGCCAATGGATGGGCCTAAGAGTGGATACAGAGGAGATGTTCAATCATTTCTGTTTTTAATTGGTCAAACAGTGGTCTTATGAGATGCACACACTAGTGGTAATGGATGAGTAAGACTGACCCATGCCATTATCAGAGAGGCTTGGATAACATTTGGGAAGTGTGGAATTTTGACCACTCCTTGCTGACCGGACAGGCGACCCTTGATCCCACCAACTAGGCCTCTGGAACCCCCCTCCACCTCTAAATTTCCCCGTCCAAGACGTTAAATGTCCAAGACGATTTTTTTGTGGCTCCCTTGCAATTCCGTCTTAGACGGGTTTGACTGTATTCAGACAGTGGGACAGACAAAAAGACGGAGAGACATGTGTAATCTCTATATGTTGTCTCATTATTAATAAAATTTGATCAGGGTGATTAAAGAACTTTTTCTGTACTTTCTTTTTATATTGCTTTTCCAGCGGTTCATTCTGTTGGACAAATTCTTGGGTGTGGAACTATCATCTGTGAAGCAGACTACGCTAACTGGTGTACAAGAATTGGAAATTCTTCAACAGTATGCAGCTGGATTAAAGGACATGGAAATCAAAGCTTTTAAAGTAACATTTAAATAGGACTGAATTTCTCTGTCTCCTTCAGAGTGTCAGAGGTTTTATTGCCTTATCTGTCTCTGCACCCCTGCCCTCCTCTACAATAGAATGTTTTAACATATTGAAAGGGAAATTGTGAAGAGAAACTTCAGCAGTTTCTCTCTGGGACTGAGAAAAAAGCTATACCCTGTGAGCATTTGTTTTATGATTATTCACACTACATGGCATTGGACAGAAGGGCGAGAGCCCAGCTGTTGCTGGATCGATAACAACAACAACAACATGATTATTCACAATGATGCTAAACTCATTCATGACTAGTTTCCACACAGTGAAGCTCTTATGCTGGGAAAAATTGCGACTAATCAGAGGAATCAAGGGTAGTGTCACAAATTCACTTTAGTATATCAACTTCTTTTTCAAATGGCCAAATTGAAAGTTGATTATATGAAGAGAATGGGGCTTCTTTCACGATCTATTATAAAAATGTACGTCCAGAGTTATCCAGAGCTTGGACTACCTATTATCACTCACCAATATTATTTTGTAGTATCTCTGTTGAGTAGCCTGTCACTTACGTGTATTCATGAGTAAAGATGTAGCCAGTCACCATTGAGTTAACTATTAACACCTAATCTGCATGTGTTGTGCCGGCAAATTGGCCTTTCGGCTCAAGGTGGCCCTTCCTGCTTTACTTTTAGTAAGATAAGCTTCAAATAGGCATTATGCAAAATATTTGTTGCCTGAGTCCGTCCTTTTCCCATGTGTCATGATTTGGCTTGTCCTTTCCCACTTTTTGATATGTTGGCTAACATTCTCATCCTGTGCACTGCCAAAGGAGAGGGGGGGCGTGTTTGTGAGCGTGTATACCGTTTGGCTCAACATGTACACCAAGAAGAACACACTCGACTTGCACGTTTGCCGGCTGAGTAGGGAATGACCCACTGGCTCACCAGTCCTTTAATCTCGTGCTGAACTCAGTGGTTACAAAAACATTCATCGGAAATGGTACGAAACACGAACAATGTACACATATCAACATCCCCCCTTCTTTAGCAAGATGCTTTATCCCACCGCTGCCACCATGTTTGTAAGCGTGTATACCGTTTGGCTCAACATGTCTACACAATTGAACATTTAGTCACATATGCACAGACACCAGTCACCCATCAGAACAGTAGAGTTCTGTTTAGAAATCAGTCATACTCTTTAAAAGACAATTTTCCATACTCATCACCGCTGAGAACTGACGAGCAGACGACCAGACCCGAAGAAGTTATCGAAAAGGATTTTGACAAGACAATTAACAGAAAGTTTTGATTTGTGTTATTAGAATATAAATGTAAATGGACTATCACCTTTTAGTATAAATTGGATACAATGTGGAGAAATCGCTGTTTGATTTAAAAGATTTACAGTTATGTAAAATCAGTAGTAATTTCTTGGGAATGGGATTCGTCAGATATATATTATGCTTTCTATTTTGTGTCGGTAACGCTCAAATATTAGTAGTAGAATTACTAATAATTTAACTTGATAATAAAGAATATTTCTTATAAAGGGTTTTGAACAAATTGACTAATAAGGTGTTGAAATGTTACGTTTAAGGAATGCACATAATGCTTCTTGCTAAAGAAGGGGGGATGTTGATATGTGTACATTGTTCGTGTTTCGTACCATTTCCGATGAATGTTTTTGTAACCACTGAGTTCAGCACGAGATTAAAGGACTGGTGAGCCGGTGGGTCATTCCCTACTCAGCCGGCAAACGTGCAAGTCGAGTGTGTTCTTCTTGGTGTACATGTTGAGCCAAACGGTATACACGCTTACAAACAGGGGGGGGGATAGGGGGCTTGCAAGTGTCTTCTTTGTGACAGTTTGTGGAGTACATTCATGAACAATTTTGTCTCATGAGTCAGTTTTTATGTTACCACTCTAAATCCAGATCTGGTCCTACTGAAACCAAAGTGCAGCAATATTTAATTTTTAGAATAGACTGCATATGTTGAATGGATCACAGTTCTCAAGTCTAACGTATTGTACTAATTGTAGAAATAAAATGGTTGGGGCGACAAAGATAACAAAGATATTGTGGACATTCCTAGAAAATTGTCTTTAGTTGTATCTCTTCATATTTAGAAAATTTATTACTTTCACTCCTGGCCCACGTCAATAATCACATTTCCCCTCGACACCTTATCATATAAAATGACAGGAAAAATAAAAAACAAATCTTTGCACAAGTCAAACAAGCCACAAGCCATCTTTTCGCTTAAGGAATATTCTTCTCTGCAGATAAAATTGTCAGACATTGACGGGCAAACTATTACTATCATTATCATCATTATTATTATTATTATTATTATTATTATTATATTATTATTATTATTATTATTATTATTATTATTATTATTACGGCTTTGACACTAATATCTCAGTGTATTTGACGTATATTTGGGTGCTGAATTATGAAATGTATTATTTTGGCTGTTTCTTGCAGCTGTGTTCATTCTGCACAAGGGGATGATCAAGTTTCTATTTCATGACCTGTGATGATAGAAATGATTAGAGGGGAAATTGGTTGAGTCTTTCATCAACGCTTTATTCACCCTGGGCCAGGGTATAGACTGCCAACAAACACTTTCCCATTTTCCCTATCTTCTTGGCGTTGTTCCATGTCCTTTGGCTTTATCTACTCAGACTACTGTCCTTCACTGTAATGCTGCTGCAGATGCTCCTCTGTCTCCTAAGCTGTGCAAAAAAATTGGATGTACCGGTATGCTTGTATTTCTGTCATTTTTTAACTTTTACTGAGTCACATTGTTGACCCTTTAGTTGCCTCTTACAACATGCAGTATCATGGCAGTTGTTGTTCTTTGTCTCCCATAAGAGAACTATGGGGCCCTCCACCTGCAGGGGTGAATAGTTTGAGTGGTACATCAATCCCATTTGAAACAGGTGGTGATCCTTTCATCACACAAAATAGGTGAATAATAATAATAATAATAATAATAATAGATAGCATTTGTATAGCGCATATCCCCGCTCAACAGCAGGCTCTATGCGCTTTACACTATATTATTACCCCAGCAGACCATAGAACACTCCGAAACATTCTCAGCTTCCCGGGAAGCATACAGTGCAAGCAGCTGATTAAGCGCTCAAACACTAACAAACTGACAAGATCTTTCACTGCCTATAGCCGGGTACCCATTCCCACCTGGGTGAAGTGAGGAAAATTCGTGTAAAGTGCCTTTCCCAAGGACACAACGTCGGGCCCTTGACGGGATTCGAACCCACGACCTTACGGTTGCGAGTCCGAGAGCCTAACCACTAGGCCACCATGAGATTTATGATGTTGGTACTCATGCTACTGCTGGTCCTTGATGTCAGTCAACGCAATGAATGTTGAATGGTTGTTCACATTCTCTGTTGCAGCATTACAATGAGTCTGCTCTTGATTTTTGTTACTCTGTGTGTGTTAGATTTCTGCGCTCAGTTCCAAGTCTAAGGACACAAGTCAAGGGTTGAGCAAGTGAATGAGTGATGTGTCAAGTGAAATACTCTTGCTAACCCTTTAAAGTAATGAGACATTTATTTTGTCAAGCAGGGTTGTTTAAGAAACCATAGTTGTTTTAAAATTTATCAACTCTGTGAATGGTTGGCAGTGTACCATCATGGGGATGACTTTATTTGTTATCCATTGGTCTACACTCTATGTCTTGGGATGATGGTGCAAGTGGCTAATTAGGCCAATGCATCTTAGAAAAAGCAAGTTACAACGAGGCCAGAAAATGATGGATATTCTACAGTGTGTTGCTCTGTCTTGCATCTCTTCAGGTGTCATATATGTACCTTCACTTCAGCACAACCTTCTCTTTTATCTTGAGGCTAGTTTTGGCTTCCATCTGCCATGAGCTGTAATCTTCTACAATCTGTTCCTAGGTTTTACTAAACAAGGGATTACACAATTTTACGCTTCCAATTATTTGAGATGGCAAAAGGCGTTACCTTAAAACGACTCTAATTCAGTCAAAGTTGATGGATTTGCTTGTCTGAGCGCTCCAAGTATTTGCAATTTAACAGAGAATCATAATATGAGTGGAAATAGATAGAAAATACAGCACAGGGCCAGGATTAATAAAATTAGTACCCAAAATGCCACTTAAGTAGTGATTTGCTAAAATGTGGAACCAAAAATAGCTACTTAAGTGGCAATCCAAAATCAAAGAGTTAAGCTGTTCTCTCTTACAGTTATTTGCATGATGCTTTAGAACAGCGAGATTTTTAGAAAGCCAGATGAAAGTTTACTCAAGTTGACTGATCTAAATGACTTATCAGCAAGGAGGTTTAAGTTTTAACTTCAAATTAATTAAATTCTTGTGTCTTTGAACTCAGAATTTTAACTCAGTATATAGAATGCTATTCCACTTTTGTGTGCAGCCAATTTTGTTCTCCAATTCTCCAGCATCACAAACTGCCCCATGACTATGACTTTGCTCCTATTTAATTTATCTGCAAAAAATAAACACCAAAATGAGTAGCAAAATGCTCTGTGCAATAAAGCTACTATTCAATTACAGACACAATGTATTTGCTGGGAATTCATAGATTTATGTTATGTCTGTAAACAACTGAGCAATGCATCATGCGCCAGTTGAACTGGTGTGCCGTATACTAATGGTTAAAGACATCTTGAGATGCAGGAAAATGCAACAAGATGAAAAGCAACACTTCTGCCCTGGCATAAGTTTTTGCTATAATATATCATGGCTGTGGTGTATGCGAGAAGTATCTCATTTTATTTTTGCCTGCTTGTGTTGTTGCCGAAGTTTTTTGCTTCTGCTACTCAAGTACCTTACCAAGTAACCATTTTTCACCATGTTTGCTTTGAGCCAGATGACATTCCCTCTGAATAGGCAGTTTAGTGAAAATTTCAAATTTGTCTGATATGCTTTGAAATACTTTCATTTGAAAGCTCGTGCCTTCATGATCATAAAACAGTTTAAATTTTGTTGATATCTTTATTAGTTAAAAAGTTGTGGTGATTTTTCATGCCTAAAATCCGGCCAATTTCAGGCCACTTTTAACACTGAGTTTTTGTGACACAAAAATGCAACTTTACAACACAAATGACCATTACTCAACACAAAATGCATATTTTTTTAAGTGTTGTACATCAGTTTGTTGGGTATTTTACACAGAATGCACACAACTACAAAACCCCTCTTTACAAAGTCACAGAAATATTTTTTGGGTACTTCTAGAGGTTCAGGGTGATAAAAAATCCCCCCGCAAGGATAACCCGAAATGGACAAAATGGGCTATATCTTTGCTGCTAATGGTCATATTAAGACAAATCATACATCATTCTCTTTGTCTTTTTTCACTGTTTATAATTATTAAAGAGTTAAGCCAATAAAGTAATAATTTCCAATTTTTATGGCCATTCTTAAGATTTCAAAACGTATTTTTAGTGTTTTTCTAACCGTTAAACGGATTCCGTAAAAAAAAAAAAAAAACCTCTTTATGACCGCCATAAGTCAGCTCCCTATCCTTCTTTTACAAAGTATTGTAACATACATTTGTGTGAAGCTATATTTTATGCTTTCAAGTGCATAAAAGAGCTTATAAATTCAAGAAAAATGTTCTTCGGAGACCTAGTTGTAGACCCACTGGAACATTTAATAAACTGCGGAAAGATGAAAAGGAAAAAAATAAGTCATTTTATGATCTTCACACAAGTTGCACTTGCAATTTTTTGGACAAATTATATTTATAGTCTACCTCATTCTATTATTTTTTATGTTTCTTCACTATTCATTACATTTTGAGTTATTATCAACTAGCAATTTTTATTGATGAGCATATTTTTTAAAAAATATTGAGTCAGACTCATTGGCCATAAATTATATTTTTTGAAATGGCACAATTTGATCATGTAAATGTAAAAATATCCAGAAAATAACAACATTAAATTATTAGGTACTGAAAGTGAAAGACTGAGCAGAGGCTCAGATAAACTCTGTTCTCTACTACTATACTACTAACAAGTAAGTTTGCGCAAAACTGATTTAAGAAAAAGGTTGTCTCATAAAAGCAATTGTTATGATGAGATTTATTATTAACTCTGAAATATATAGCTAGATGCTGAATCTAACATCAATTAGAACTGTGCAATTCAAGCTTTATTTCAATTCCAAAGCCCAAAGGCATAAATAGTTAGATATGCTGGCTTTTTTACTGTTTCTAGCCTACTACTGCTGAATTCTAGATTTAGCTATCATTTGCACTATTCAAGAGCCAAATATGGTAAAATAAAAGCAAAACTGTGAATTCTTTTGTCTGTCTGTTCATAATTTCATAGCCGCACGTATTATTATTATCCGGAGAAACAAGTAAAGCGCGAATAAATGCGATGCCGGCGCAATACGTTATCACAGTGGGCAGGGGAGAGTGGGGGCGCCGGGTCGCTGACCGGCCGATTTGGCGTTTCGGCTTTTTGTATGCATTTTTACGGGAAGCGCCGTAGCGTTGTGCGAAGTTCAACCTAAACAATTCGGGTGTCAAAAGAAACTAGAATGGACAATCTATAACTTCTGAAAGATTCATAAATATACAGCCAGTAGTTTTCATTTTATCGCGTTGTAAAAACTGCCTTGTTTTCAGATGCAAATATTTCCAGTTCTACTGAACCGATTTTCACGCGAAGACCGCCATTTTGAAGACCTTTCTTTTCTGTTTAAAAAGATGTATCGGGAGTGGTAGTGCAATTCGCAAAACGAAACAAAACTGTGAGTTGTTTAGACCCACCGCAGCGCGAGGCTTCCCGGCCGGTCACAAAAATCTACGGGGCGTACCGCGGCCGATTCTCCCTGCCGCGAGCGCGTTCACTAAACTGCCTACTCTGAAAACGGTGGTGACTTTAATTAGCTTTAACTGGTATAAAAATCAAATGGGGAGGAGAAAGTTGGCTCCATTGCATAATGATCCATGAAACCATCAGAAGTTGGAATTATATTGCAATATCAGATATATATAACTTGTGAGAAATGTATATGTCACAATGCAGGCACTGGAATCAGGTGCTCGTCCTAATTTTGGGCATGTGGAGTTTTTATTATAATCTTAAAGCCTGCTCATAAATGTCTTGCTTATGTTGAAAAAAATATCCAATTTTTCTTGAAAAACCCTCCAGTAGAAT